TTAATCGAATCGGCTGGAGTACCATTCGGTCAATTTTTATCAGGTGTTCCAGAAATTATGAAAATAGCAGTAAAAAAAAAAATTTTTTAAATATATTTACTATCCGGGTGTATAAAAAATTTATAAAAATTTTATGTTTTTATATATAAAATTTTTTGAAAATAAAATTAAAAGCCGGGTTGCCGGGTCACTTTCAAAATTTTGAGAACCAAAGGCCTGGCCTAATATAGAATTTAATTGGCGAATTTGATTAACCTAAATTTAGCGCGTGGTCACGGAGGATTTTTGGTGTTGATTACAAAGATTATATATAGATCTCAACTTCTATCTATCAATATAAATCATGAAACTTAACAAACTTACAGAGAGAACACGACTTAAAGTAGTACTACCCGGAGATTCAGTCTCTTTAGATGTTACGAATTCAGAAATTACTCTTGGGCCAGGTCTAACGCAAGCTGGTGAATTCATAACTTGCACAAAAGCAGGCATTCTTATATGCTCGGGATCCACTTATTGGGTTGAAACTGATCAGAAAAGAGTAGTTTTCATGTTCTTGTTCGTTTATTAAAATTTAAAGTTTTAATTTTCATGTACTGATTACTTTTAACTGTTGTTTAAGTATATTCCTGAGACTGGTGAAAGTGTAGTTGGCAGAATTTCCGGAAAAGGAAGTGAATTTTATCGGGTAGATATTGGAAGTGCACACCAAGCCATTTTACCGTTCTTAGCTTTCGAAAATGCTACAAAAAAGAATAGACCGAATTTAAATGTAGATATAAATGTTTCTTTTTCAGTTTTAAACATATTGCATACTTTAACTACGCGTTTTCTTTTTTTTTCTTAAGAAAACGTTCTATCTATTACATTATTAAATAGATCGGTGATTTGATATACGCAAGAGTTTCTTTGGCAAATAAAGATATGGATCCGGAGCTTCAATGTTATAACCCTGCAAATAATAAAACTGAGGGGTTTGGCAAATTAGAAGGTGGAATGATCTTGAAATGTTCTTTAAGATATTGTCAAAGGTTTTTTTTTAGTTTACTTTATAGTTTTAGTAAATTTTTGCGGGTTTACGATTTACTTTAATTTTTGTTCTTGATTATTATTCTTCAGATTGTTGACCCAAGAAACAGAAATCTGTAAATTACTTGGTCAAAAGCTTCCATTTGAAGTATCTGTTGGGATGAATGGTCGTGTTTGGCTGCACTCTGGTACAATTAAATCTACATGCTTGGTGTATAATGTTCTTAAACAGGCGGAGACACTGAATAATAACGAATGCAAAATGCTAGTTAGCAAGTTGATTGTTTAATATTAATTGGTATAAAATAAATACGTAATAAAACTTATTTGCTAAGCAATTTGTATAAAAAGTATATAGTATTATAAATCAATCTCTAAAATTATTTTTTTAAAAAGATATATTATATATAACAAAATTGATTAGTATTAGCCAAATATAGGACATGAGCAACAAAAATGTTACAATAATAATAATAATAATAATTTTCGAGCCTAATCGAAGAGGTTGTTTATATTCGGGTGCAATTTTATAATAAACCATAAAACTTTCGTCAAATTGTCTGCACCAAAATCTGGTGGGTTGCTTATAACTTACGGTATTAACTATCACTTACCGTTGGTTACTAGATAAGGTATCCGGGATCTTATTCATGAATAGTACCGGGTACTATTCACGAATCCAGCAACCTTATTCATTTGCTTACAACTTTTGACGACACCAGGGCGGCCCCCTGAAGTAAGCGTTACATATTTGGAAAATGCTTTCCAAGAATTTTAATGATAGTTAATAAGAGCTTCGATACAAATAATAAAAGTATATTATTGTTTTTAATTTATTTGTCATATGTAGATGAAATTTGATTATTTCTAATAAATTATGTTTGAATCACCTGAATGGTTATAGCTATATTATATTAAATATTTGAGAAACATCCTAATTGGACTAAAAAATATATATTAATTTGTTTAAAATAAAAAAAATCTGCTCAAAACATTGTACTAATTAAATTCTTTATTAATAAAACTTAATTCTAAAGCTTAATAAGAATTATTTAATATTTTATCTAATAAAGCTTTTTTAAAAAATTCAAGACTTTAATAAAAATTATAAATTATATTTGAAAAACCATTCTGTTAAAATTATATTTAATAAAACTAATTTAGATTTATTTAAATTATTTTATATTAATTTTATTTATTTATTTATTTTTTGTTTTAGCAATTCTTTCTTTATTATTTAAATCAGAATAGAATATAACAAGTGTACAATATACAAATAGAGGCTAATTTATTTTACAATCTACTTTTTTCTGTATTAATAAAGAATCACTTGATGCTAAAATACTGTACAGTAAGGATAAATTTTACTACTTGCATCCAGACATAACCCATCTAAGTAGTTTATGTTTATCTTGTTCAGAATTTTCAACTTACTGTTACAGTACCGTGGCCTTCTTAACAGCAGTACTATAACAATGACACGGCTACAGGGATCCTTCACAGGTTT